GCATAAACTTGTGTGTGCTGGCTTGTGTCCATAATCCCATCACTCAGGGACTGGAAAGAGAAGGATAAGAAAATCATCTCCAGCAACACAGCAAAAAGGAGCCATCCCCGAACAAAAGAGACTGTCTTGGAATAATAAAACAAAGTAACTATTTCTAACTATAGTACAAACTTGTAAAGCAAATCACTGTGAAAAACTATTCCTTGGAATAAAATACAAACAGAAACTTTAAATATTCCAGTTGTAATTTCCTCTAACTGTATTTTGTCTGAGAACCTGGGATGGGTGGTCCGTGGCCAGTGCTGGAAGCAACAATTAACCACCACAAAACCCCAAGCAGTGAAGTGTTTATAAAAGGAGACTTACAGTTGGTTTATTTCCAGTACTCCTGAGGCAGAGGAAGGTGGATCTCTTCTATGATGTGGACCTCAGCCTGTTTTATAAAGCAAGTTCCACGTCAGCCAAGACTACACTGAGAAACTATGCCTTTGAAACCAAACCAAACCTAAAAACCAAACTGGGTTGCTTTTAAGGAAAGTGACCCCAAAGGGAGTGGCACTATAATAAGGTGTGGGCTTGTTGGAGTAGGTGTGGTCTTATTGGAGTAAGTGTGTCACTGGGGGTGGGGTGGTGGGGCTTTGAGGTTTCTTTTTTTCCAGCTTTCCTTGGTGTGATTGTCAGTCCATTTTCTGTTGCCTGAAAGGCGTAGCACCTTTCACTATTTCTCCTGCACCATGCTTATTTTCATGCCACCATGCTCCCCACCATGATGGACTGAACCTCTGAACTGTAAGTGAGCCCCCTCAATTAAAATGTTTTCTTTGTAAGAGTTGTCATGGTCATTAGGTGTCCTCAGAGCAACATTAAACCCTAACAAAGAAATTTTCTTAATGGGGAAAACAAAAAGGAAGGAACATGGAAGTCAATAGTGTTGATAATGATTTGAAATGTTGGGAGCTGGTTCAAGAGGTTTCAGAGAAGCATTTTAGTATGCTGCCTAGAAATCTTTCTTGTGATACTTTGGTGAAGACAGAGGTTTCCTTTTGCCCTTGTCTGAAGAGTCTGACTGATGGTAAAGTGAAAAGTTTTGGATGAATTTTGTTGACAGAATAAATTGCAACACAGCCTAGTATAGACTCTGTCCTGTGGTTATTAATAGTAACTCTAATGCCACTTTATGCTTGGCCATAAGTATGTGAAAGTGTCCATTGAGAGGTTCTTGAGAATTGAGATCCTTCTAAGAGGATTCCCTTTTCTCATATATACAGTTTCTTGAGATTTGATCAAGACTGACAAGAGTCTTTCTGTTAGCTCTTTAGTGGGGTTCCCAATAGAATGTGCTCTGTATTGCCCTCATTCTTACCTTATAAAGGGGATATTAACTGTCTCACATATACTGGATTCTTGTGAGGAGGAGGAGCACTTCTCTGGCCTGATGTATGGTTCCACTGGGTTGCCTGATTTTGGCATTAATTCATTGTTTGCAGAGGCTGTGCTTTGGTTTTCCTTTTGGATTTTTTGCTTTTAGAAACAGCTTTTCTCTTTATGAAAGCACTGGCTGTCCTGGAACTCACTCTGTAGACCAGGCTGGTCTTGAACTCACAGGGACCTATCAGCCTTGGCCTACCAAATGTTGGGATTAAAGGTGTATGCCAATCGAGGATGTGTTATGAAGCATGGACTGCTTTTGTGGATTGAGAGATTCTAGGTTCTGAGTATGGGTGACCAGGTCCTGGAACCTTGTTTCTGAACTTGTCTGAGACACAGCAAAAGGATTTTAGATTTATAATCTTCTGAGACAAATTATGTGTGGACAACAACCCAAAGAAAACTTGTCAGTCAACTGTTTACTGCATTTATCAAGATTATTTCTGTGAGTACAAAAGTATGTGAGGGAAGAGTATGGGAAGAAACTTCTAAATGACAACATTTTATAAGTCATTGCATTTTGAAATGTCCCTACATTTAGCATAAAAATATTTTATTTTATTTTATTTTTGCTATTTTATGAGACAGGGTTTCTCTGTATTGTTTTGGAGGCTGTCGATCCAGCCTGGCCTTGAACTCACAGAGATCCTCCTGCCTCTGCCTCCCGAGTGCTGGGATTAAAGGTGTGTGCCACCACCGCCCAGCTTCAGATTGGTTTGTTTTAAACCACTGTTTTGACAAGTTATCACAGACAACATGAAATTGATTATGTTGTTTCTTTTTCAGCATTGTAGGAAGAAAATGTTATGAATGGAATTTTAAAAGAGGTATATAATGCACCTGGGATCTACACACACTTTGTCATATTTGTTATCAACTTGTTAATCCATATCATATAAAAGAAATGGTTTGATAATAGAGCTAAGTATGAGGAAGTTATAGAAATTAATCCTTTGCATTGTATAGATATGGTTTATTGATACAAATTTAAGATCAATGTGTTATATGTATATTTCTATTCTTATTTAGGTATTTTGTTTATACAGCTCATTTAAACATGTAATGTGTAGGGGGGGTTGGTGGTAGGGCATGGGAGGAGGGAAGGGAAATGGAGAGGGACCTGGAATTGACATGTGAAGCAACCTTGTTTCTAATTTAAATTTAAATTTAAAAATAAATAAAATATTATAAAATGCAATGTGTAATTAAATACAGATTATCGATAGTAGCCTACGATAGTTGAATCTTATGTTATATGTCCTAGATATACAAACCTTTCAAAGATCTACAGAATATGAAATTTAAAATGATTTATTAGGGTTTGTCGTGACAATAAGGCACAACTGCCCCTGACAACACCAATTATGTCAGACAGGATCATGGACACTGAAGAAACTTATTATGGAGATTGCTTTTAATCTGACAAGACTAGCCATTTGCCCAAGGACCTGCTCTTGACTGAACTGTTTGACACTATGCTGTGTAAACTGGACATGCAGGGCCCAGAGGAAAGTAATGGACTCTGGGTGGGTGGAGAACAGAAACCTGTATATGTGACTCACAGTGAAAGTTTTATTGATGGGAGTGAGGTAAAGAGACACAGAGACAGAGAGAGGACAGAAGAGAAGGACACAAGAAAAGACCTGTCTTCACCTTCAGAAGAACAATGACTAACAGAGAATGGAAGTGGGTGGAGTCTTTTAAAGATCCAGGTTACACACACCTGCCTTTTGCAGGTGGGTCAGAGGCAGGGCCAGGTTTGCTTGGATTACAACAATTTGGGCATGCACACACCAAATATATGCTCAGAGACATGAACATATTTCAAAGCTGTACAAATATAACTCCTGAACAGGGAAGAGGAAAAACCAGCCAACTGCAAGCACTTTCACTATGCAGGTAGAGGCATGAGGGAAGCATTATTCACCTATTCCCATTGGTCTGTATTGAGTAAACAATTCCAGTTTTGAGGCCACTAAGTCCTTGAATTTTCTCTGTTGCCATACTACTCAATACCATGTGCTTTGTGTTTTCCCTAGTTTGTGGGCATATTTTCTACAGTTAGTCTCACTCACAGAGCAAGACTAAGTTTCTCAATCATGATTTTCTCTTAATCTAGCTAACATAAATATTTTTTACTTCTTGATAAAATCATAGTACTTTGTAAATAGATAGGCATATTTGAAGCTATTTTACATTCAAGTAATAGTTTTTACTTTTCATGTTTCAATATCCTGTGACTGCTGTGAAATAAATTAGTTTTGAAATAGTGTTTCTGACCCAATACTCAGTGTGCATGTACTGTGGGAGGCTGACATGTTTCCAAGCACTCATGGTACATGCAATGTAGGAGTATCATGCTTTTAATGCAGCAGGTACTGTGGTGGTCTTGTGGCTGAATGTCAGCTTTAATTATGCATTTACTTTGGGAGCCTGACAACAGTATTGCAGCATGCATGTGACCTACTGTGTGAGGCTCAAACCACTTATCCAGGATTCATGATGAACACACCATAGTGGGCCTATGGGTGTAAGCAAATACTTATCGTGAATGTGTGTAGGACACACCCACAGACCTACCATCAATTAAGCAGTTCATAGACCAGCTGTGGATGGCTATTCCTGACTACACAGGTTCTGCCTTGGACCAAGCTAAAGCTTTACATCAGACAAGCAACTGGAGAAAGAAGTTGTTTGACAACCACATTACTCATCAGGGAGGAAGAACCATCGATTAACTAAGGGATTTTGTAGGCCTGAGCTGTAAATGGTTCCACAATACCCTATAGCTGTTAAGAGTTCCTCCTTAGTTCTGAAAGACCCCCGCCATACTCAGGTAAACCTCGCCCTTTGGCGCAAAATTTGAATGTAAACCGTGCCCTTCTAAGTGCGCGAAATTCAAAACCTGTGACGTCACCAAGACGAGTACCCTATCGGTGGTGCTCTCAATTCTACCTCAATTTGCATGTCAAGCCTGCCAGACCTGATTGAGAGCAGCTCTTGCAAGGTCCGCAGGACTTAATATGCAAATAAAGCCGCTTCTATATAAGCAGTACTAAATCCAGCCCGGTATGCTCAGCCTCCTGAATCGCTGAAGCATCCGCAGGCGCCTGTTTGATTAATAAAAACCCTCTTGCTTTTGCATCCAGTGGCTCAGTCTCGATTTTTGGGCGAGGGTCTCCTGCCGGGAATATTCCCAGGTTTTCATTGGAGGTCCCCCTGAGATTGAAGACCCCTGCCCAACTCGACCAGAAGCCCACCGGGAGGTAAACTGGCCAGCATAAGTGTTTCCTGTTGGTAAATGTGTCTGTCTGTTGTCCATGCGACTCGGATCCGGGTCACTTGGTATCTGGGCGGCTTGAGAAGGAGCTGACAAGCTCGGGACTTCTCCCCTGCCACCCTGGAAGACGTTCCAGGGGTCATATGCCCCTCTATTGGAGAATCAAGGGCCTCTGGTTCTTGAGAATCCATCTGAACTTTTGTTTTCGGTACCGTGCAGAACGTCTGATTGCCGGCTGTCTTGTTGTTTTTGTATTGTGTCTGTCTGTCTTTTGTTTGCGTTTAAAGTCATCATGGGACAGACCCTAACCACCCCCTTAAGCCTAACTCTAGGACACTGGTCTGAGGTTCGAGAACGTGCCCGCAGCCGGGCGGTCGAAGTAAAGAAAAAGAAGTGGCGGACCTTTTGCTCCTCGGAATGGCCCACTTTTAACGTGGGTTCGTCCGAGGGACAGCACCTTTAACCTTGATACTATTTTGAAAAATTTTTTTACCAAGGACCCCATGGGCACCCAGACCAGGTCGCCTGCATCGTAACCTGGGAAAACTTGGCTTATGACCCACCTCCGTGGGTGGCCCCCTTTGTCTCTCCGAAACCCGCTCTTCCTCCCCCCTAACCCTAACCCTAACCCCCCAACCCCCCACCCCGTCCCTTTGAAACCCGCCCCTTCCCCTGTCCCTCAGAAACACGCTCTTCCTCCCCTCCCCCCCGCCCCTCCGCAACTGGCTCATTCTCCCCCGCCCCTCCGGAACCCGCTCCTCCTCCACCTGGCCTCCCGGAACCCACTCCTTTTCCCCTTGCCCCTTCAGAACCCTCTCCTTCCCTCCCCACTCCTAAGGCACCTCCTCCTTCCGCTCCCCCAGCTCCCTCTTATTTCTCATCGCTGTACCCTACCATCACACGGGAACAATCTCCCAAACCCGTCTTTCCCCGATCCTAATTCCCCCCTAATGGATTTGCTCTCTGATGACCCCCCTCCCTATAAACCGCCTCCGTTGCAGCCAGCCCCGATAGGAGCTCAACAGACGCCCCCGGTGGGAGACCAGAGGGGCGCCACCTATTCACCTCCTAACTCCCCAGTTGCAGGCCGTCTCCAGGGGCGGAGAGACCCACCGCCCTCAGAGATTACCTCCCAGGCATTCCCCTTACGACAAGGAGGGAACGGCCAACTGCAATACTGGCCATTCTCTGCCTCTGACCTATACAACTGGAAACAGCACAACCCTCCTTTCTCCAAGGATCCTGTCGCCTTGACTAATCTAATAGAATCTATATTAATTACCCATCAACCTACTTGGGACGACTGTCAACAGCTGTTGCAAACCCTGCTGACCTCAGAGGAGAAACAGAGGGTTTTTCTAGAAGCAAGGAAGAATGTGCCAGGGGAGAACGGGCAGCCGACTCAGCTACCGAACGAGATCCATGCCGCCTTCCCCTTGACCAGACCCAACTGGGATTTTACCACAGATGCAGGTAGGGGACACCTACGCCTTTATCGCCAGTTGCTCATAGCGGGTCTCCGAGGGGCTGGTAAGTGTCCTGTCAATTTGGCACAGGTAAAGCAAGTAAGTCAGGGTTCCGAGGAGCCTCCTGCCGCCTTTCTAGAGAGGCTCAAGGAAGCTTACCGCATGTACACTCCCTATGACCCAGACGAACCGGGACAGGCTACCGGCGTGGCCATGGCATTTATATGGCAGTTGGCGCCTGACATTAGGAATAAGTTACAGAGACTGGATGGACTACAGGGCTACACCATCCAGGATCTACTAAAGGAAGCAGAACGTATCTATAATAAGAGGCAGACTATAGAGGATAGGGAGGACTGTATACGCAGAGAAACTGAAGAGAAGGAGACAGCTAGGGACTGTAAACGAAGTAAGGAGCTAAGCCGCCTCTTGGCCACTTTAGTACAGAGCAGCAATAGGCAAGATAGGCAGGGAGACCAGAGGAGACCCAGGGTGGAACGGGACCAGTGTGTCTATTGCAAGGAGCGAGGCCACTGGGTGAGAGAATGCTCAAAGCGACCCCGAAAACCGAAAGGTCCGCGGCCAGAAACGTCCCTTCTGGCTTTAGATGAAGACTAGGGGAGCCAAGGGCGGGAGCCCCCCCCCACGCCTAGGCTAACTCTCAGAGTCGGGGGCCAACCAGTCACCTTCCTACTAGTTGACACCGGAGCTCAGCACTCAGTCCTCACCACCTCCCCGGGCCAACTCAGCGGACGGACAGCCTGGATGCAAGGGGCCACCGGTGGAAGGTACTACCATTGGACTACGGAAAGGAAGGTGCATCTGGCTACCGGTAAGGTTTCTCATTCTTTCCTCCACGTCCCCGACTGTCCATACCCACTACTGGGACGAGACCTACTGACGAAACTCAGAGCACAGATCCATTTCGAGGGGAATGAGGCCACAGTGTCAGGCCCAAATGGAGCCCCTCTCCAAGTATTAACTCTCAAAATGGAAGATGAATGCAGATTATTTGAGGGGGAACCTACAGTGAAACCCGAGATAGACTCTTGGCTAGAAGATTTCCCCTTGGCCTGGGCCAAAACCGGGGGCATGGGTTTAGCTAAGCAACAACCTCCCATTGTCATTGAGTTAAAAGCAACAGCTACACCCATCTTGATTAAACAGTATCCCATGCCTAATGAGGCCTACCAAGGAATTAAGCCTCACATCAAAAGACTCTTGGACCAGGGGATCTTAACTCCCTGTCGGTCGCCATGGAACACTCCACTTCTACCTGTCAAAAAGCCTGGCACGGGTGACTACCGACTGGTACAGGACCTTAGGGAAGTTAATAAGAGGGTGGAGGATATACACCCCACGGTGCCCAACCCATATAACCTTTTGAGTACCCTACCACCCACTCATCCGTGGTATACGGTGTTAGACCTAAAGGACGCCTTCTTTTGTCTCCGGTTGAGCCCTAAGAGCCAGCCAATGTTTGCTTTTGAATGGAGGGACCCAGAACTAGGAATTTCAGGACAATTGACCTGGACGCGGCTCCCCCAGGGATTCAAGAACAGCCCCACTCTCTTCGATGAAGCCTTACATCAGGACCTTGCAGACTTCCGGGTCCAACACCCATCCCTGATTCTACTCCAGTATGTGGATGATCTCCTGCTGGCAGCTCCAACCGAACGGGACTGCCTTAAAGGTATCGGGGCCCTACTACAAACCCTCGGGCATCTTGGGTACAGAGCCTCTGCCAAAAAGGCCCAAATTTGCCAGACGGAAGTGACTTATCTGGGGTACAAATTAAAAGAAGGACAGCGTTGGCTAACGGCCGCACGCAAGGAAACTATATCCCAGATCCCAGTTCCCCAGGGACACCGGCAGCTGAGAGAATTCTTGGGCACCGCTGGGTTCTGCAGGTTGTGGATCCCCGGATTCGCTGAAATGGCAGCTCCTCTGTATCCCCTAACCAAACAAGGGGCTCCCTTTAAATGGACAGAGACACAACAACAGGCCTTTAGTAACATCAAATGGGCCCTACTCTCCTCTCCAGCCTTGGGCTTGCCTGACCTAACCAAACCTTTCAACCTATTCGTGGACGAGAAGCAAGGCTTTGCAAAGGGGGTCTTGACCCAGAGGTTTGGGCCATGGAAACGACCTATTGCCTACTTGTCCAAGAAATTGGACCCAGTAGCCTCCGGATGGCCCCCTTGCTTGAGAATGGTTGCGGCCATTGCAATCCTCGTCAAGGACGCAACAAAGCTAACTCTGGGACAGCCATTAACTGTACTGGCACCGCATGCGGTTGAGTCTATCGTCCGCCAGCCTCCTGATGGTTGGCTATACAACGCCGGCATGACCCATTACCAATCCTTGCTCCTGGATGCTGATCAGATTCGCTTCGGCCCAGCAGTCGCCCTTAGCCCTGCAACTTTGCTGCCACTGCCAGAGAGCCCTACATCCCACGACTGCCTGCAGATCCTCGCGGAAGCACATGGGACCAGAGTTGACCTGTCCGACCAGCCATTAAAAGACGCGGACCACACGTGGTACACGGATGGCAGTAGCTACTTGCTGAATGGAGAACGACGAGCAGGAGCAGCAGTGACCACCGAAAACCAGGTAGTCTGGGCCAGCGCCCTTCCGGGAGGAACCTCAGCACAGCGGGCGGAGCTCATCGCTCTAACTCAGGCGCTCCAGCTGGCAGAAGGTAAGAGACTCAACGTATATACCGATAGCCGGTATGCCTTCGCCACTGCCCACATACATGGGGAAATCCACCGAAGGAGGGGACTCCTAACCTCGGAGGGCAAGGAGATTAAAAATAAAACTGAGATCTTGGCCCTGCTCAAGGTCTTATTCCTCCCCAAGAAATTGAGCATCATGCACTGCCCAGGGCACCAAAAAGGAGACAGTGCAGAGGCAAAAGGCAATCGTCTAGCAGATGAGACTGCTAAACAGGCCGCTCTGGGTCCCCAGGTCCTCACCGTCACAATCCTAACTGAACCAGGACGGACCCAGCTGGTAAACTGGGAATATACTACTGAGGACTTAGATTTGATACAGAAACTAGGAGCGGACTATGATCCAGAACGGGACAGATGGGTGCACCAAGGAAAAACCATTGTGCCAACTAAACCTACAATGGACCTAATTAATAACCTCCACAAACTAACTCATTTAAGTGCCCGAAAAATGCAAGTCCTGGTGGACCGAGCGGAGACAGGAAAACTTTTCCTCAATAGAGAAAAGGCCCTACAAAAGGTCACAGAAACTTGTACGGCTTGCGCTCAAGTCAACGCAGGACGGGCCAAGACTGCTCCCAGGGTCCGTCTCCAGGGACACCGACCTGGAGTCCAGTGGGAAATAGACTTTACTGAAGTTAAACCTGGCATGTATGGTTACAAATATCTCTTAGTTTTTATAGACACCTTCTCTGGATGGGTAGAGGCCTACCCCACCAAACATGAAACTGCAAAAGTGGTCACCAAGAAGCTATTAGAAGAAATCTTTCCCCGATATGGGATGCCTCAGGTAATAGGGTCAGACAATGGGCTGGCCTTTGTCTCCCAGGTGAGTCAGCAGGTGGCCAAGGTACTGGAGATTGATTGGAAATTACACTGTGCATATAGACCCCAGAGCTCAGGTCAGGTAGAACGTATGAATAGAACAATTAAGGAGGTCTTATCTAAATTAACGCTAGCAACTGGCTCAAAGGATTGGGTGCAACTCCTACCCCTGGCTCTGTATCGAGCCAGGAACACCCCAGGCCCTCACGGCCTTACCCCTTTTGAAATTCTATATGGGGCTCCACCGCCCGCCATCACTTTCTTTGATTCTGATATTTCAGACTATGCTAATTCCCCCTCTCTCCAAGCACACCTGCAGGCCCTGCAGATCGTGCAGAAGGAAGTTTGGAAGCCCTTAGCAGCCGCCTACCAGGACACCACTGATACGCAAACAGTGCCTCACCAGTTCCAAATCGGAGACTCAGTCTGGGTCCGGAGACACCAAACCAAAAACCTCGAGCCTCGCTGGAAGGGACCATATACGGTACTCCTGACAACGCCTACAGCATTGAAAGTTGACGGTATCGCCGCCTGGATCCACGCATCTCACGTGAAGGCTGCCCACCCAAACGCTTCCACGTCCCCTGCCCAGGCATGGAGACTCCAACTCTCTCAAAACCCCCTAAAGATAAGACTTATTCACAATTAGTTGTCTTGTTTGCCCTTTTGACTACCCCCACCACCCTGTCGACGAGCCCCCATACCCTAAAACAATTAACCTGGCAGATAGTCTCCCCAACAGGAAATGTCTTGTGGTCTCAGTCAGGGAACCATGCCATGGGAACCTGGTGGCCCTCACTCAACCCAGACTTCTGCCAACTGGTGGCAGGGTCAGACTATTGGGACATACCTGACTATGAGGCAGATACATTGCCAGAAAAACTAAGATCAAACCCTGGCAATAGAAGCGTGCATGGCTATGGTGTCCGGGGAGTCCAGACCCCAATAGGTTGTGCCACCATCGAGAAACGGTGTAAACTGGGTCACCAAGACTTTTACGTGTGCCCAAAGGATGGGAGGGACTTCCACACGTCCCGTAAATGAGGAAGCTATGACTCTTACTTTTGCGCCGCCTGGGGCTGTGAGACCACCGGAGGTGCATACTGGAACCCCTCATCTTCCTGGGACAAGGTCACCATATTAAAGGGCTGGGGAAAGGGACATTGTTCCAGCTGTTCTGGAGGACTCTGCCTTCCCCTTAACATCACCTTTACACCGAGTGGTAAAAAGGCTCCAGAATGGAGCAGGGGATATACTTGGGGGCTCCGCTGGTACATAGAAGGAGAAGATCGGGGGGTTAACTTTAAAATACAACTTAGAGTACAGCAGGCCTCCCAACCAATCGTTCCCAACCAAGTCCTGGCGGAGCAGAGGCCGGCATCCTCCTCCGGTTTCATACCAATCCCCCTGCCAGTGGGTAACTCAGTTAAAATTAAAATAACCACACCAACCTTGCCCCCTAGCCAGTCCCAGAATAACCGGCCCCAGGAAGACTTCCTGGGGACAGGGGATAGGCTTATTAACTTAGTAAAAGGAGCCCACCAGGCCCTTAACTCCTCAGACCCTGCTCGAGCTAGAGACTGTTGGCTATGCCTCAGCGTAGGACCCCCTACTATGAGGGAATTGCTGTTTCAGGAAATTTCTCTAATTATACTAGAGCCCCGGAATCGTGTTTGGTACTGCCTCATCACAAGCTAACTTTACCTGACGTTTCTGGGCAAGGGACATGTCTAGGTCAGGTTCCTAGGTCGCACCAGCCACTCTGTAATCGGACCATCCAAACTCTGTCAGCAGGGAACTATTATCTGGTTGCCCCAAATGGTACGTACTGGGCCTGTAACACAGGTCTCACCCCCTGTATATCGGCCCAAGTGTGGAACCAAACCTCAGAGTTCTGTGTGTTGATCCAGCTGTGGCCCAGGATCACCTATCATAGCTCAGAAACCGTTTATGAGTTCTTCGAAGACACCCCTAAGAGGCAGAGGAGGGAGCCAGTAACTATGACCCTCGCAATCCTTCTGGGAGTCGAAGGGATTGCGGCAGGGATAGGCACTGGAACTCATGCCATAATACAGACAGGGAAATTCCAAGCCTTGCATGACGCCATGCATTCAGACCTAAAAGCAGTTGAAAAGTCAATCACTGCCCTCGAAAGATCCCTGACCTCTCTATCTGAAGTTGTTTTACAAAATAGACGGGGATTAGACTTACTCTTATTAAAGGAGGGTGGATTATATGCGGCCCTTAAAGAAGAATGTTGCTTTTATGCAGACCAGACAGGGATAGTTAGAGAGACCATGGCTAAACTAAGAGAGCGCCTGGCCCTTTGAGAAAGAGAATTTAGTTCACAACAAGGCTGGTTTGAAGGATGGTATAACAGATCACCCTGGTATGTTACCTTACTTTCAACTCTTATGGGACCTTTAGTTATACTGGTGATTATTCTGACATTTGGTCCCTGTATCCTTAACCGGCTGGTTCAGTTTATCAAGGAAAGACTGTCAGTCATGCAGACCTTAGTCCTAACTCATCAATATCAGGTTCTAAAGCAACAGGAGACAGAGAACCCTCACAACAGTTAAGTAAAGGATTTTACTTAAAAAAAATGGGGGAATGAAAGACCCCCGCCATACTCAGGTAAACCGCGCCCTTTGGCGCGAAATTTGAATGTAAACCGTGCCCTTCTAAGTGCGCGAAATTCAAAACCTGTGACGTCACCAAGACGAGTACCCTATCGGCGGTGCTCTCAATTCTACCTCAATTTCCATGTCAAGCCTGCCGGACCTGATTGAGAGCAGCTCTTGCAAGGTCCGCAGGACTTAATATGCAAATAAAGCCGCTTCTATATAAGCAGTACTAAATCCAGCCCGGTATGCTCAGCCTCCTGAATCGCTGAAGCATCCGCAGGCGCCTGTGTGATTAATAAAAACCCTCTTGCTTTTGCATCCAGTGGCTCAGTCTCGATTTTTGGGTGAGAGTCTCGTGCCGGGAATATTCCCAGCTTTTCAGTTCCACATCTAGTGGGGTGACCTCTATAACTACAAGTTCTTCAGTCAGGTGGGATATTATACCACCCTGTGTTAGTTTATTGCCTGAATGAACCATTTTCAGGTTATCACCTATGGCTTCACTTGTAGTATTGTGGAGAGTTTTTCCATGAATTCTGACCCAAGGTAACAGTGGTATGTAGTACAGTATAATTATTGTTTTGTCCTGTAGCAACAGGTTGAGATTACACACACACACACGACACACACACACACAGACACAGAGAGAGAGAGGATTTATTTTTAATTATGTTATACACTATTCAAAAATTTTAATTTAAATTTATTTTGATTATTTTTCCCCAGGGACATACTGGAAAAAGAAGTAATGGTGGTCTGAAAAATACATATTAATCAAATAACTCCTAATGATATTTTGATATACTCAAGAATCAATGCCTTGTTCAGCCATTGTCAGAGAAACTTCCTCCTGCAGCAGATGCAACCAAAAACAGTGACCAACAACCAGATATTGCACAGAGAGTGAGAGACTTTGGAACATTTCACACTAAGGTGTAGATGGAGTTTCTGTCTATTCTAATTCCACCACCCTTCAGTCTGACATTAACACACAGATTATTATATCAATTATAAACTGTTTGAACTATCACTCAGGCTTCTTAGTGGCTAGCTCTCTCTTAATTACTAACTCATTTCTATTAATCTGTATATCTCCAACTTGTCTTGGCTTACCAGAGAATGCTTGATTTCATGGCAGCTATATGGCATCTATCTCTCTCTTCACTCTCTGTTCTTGTCTTCCTATCATTCTCCTAGTTGGGTTACTAGCCAATAAGCATTTATTAATCTACCAATAAGAGAAACACATATTCACAGAATACAGAAGGATATCTGCCATCACTAAAGGGGATGTTTACATGCATTAGGGGGTCAGGGAAGCTCATAAAAAAGAAGTGGAGAATTGTGTAAGAGCCTGAGGGGATAGAGGACACCAAGAAAACAAGGCCCTCTAATTGAAGAGGAACAAAGCTCTTGTGAAATCACAGAGACTGAAGCGTTATGGGCAGGGCCTGCATGAGTCTACATCAGATCTTTGCAGTATGTATTATGGGTTCCAGTTTAGTGTTTTACTGGGATTGCTGAGTGTGTGATCGAGTGGATCTCCAATTCTTATGCCTTCTCTTGGACATTTTTACTAGAGTGGGTTTGTCTTGTCCAACTCTGATGTGATAATTTTTGTTTATTTTTGTATATTTTATTTTGTTATACATTGTTTGAAAAATGAATGAATGATTCAAAGAATAAAACCCTAGACATTATGATAAATGTTAACAACTGAATTGTCAGCTATAGCTGCTCAGAGAGGGATATTCACATTTTTCTGATGGAAAATTGTCTTCTGTATATATGTTTTTCTTTTGGTTGATGAATAAAACACTGATTGGCCACTAGCCAGACAGGATATACTGTCAAGGCTACCAGAGGAGGAGAATACTGGGTAGAGGCAGAAAGAAGCTGACAAGGAGATGCCATGCTGCTGAAGGGGTAATGTGCTGGATTAACGGTAAGCCACAGCCTTATGGTAATATATAGTTTAATAGAAATGGGTTAATAATTAAGAGAGAGCCCATCAGTAGGAAGCCAGTGCAATTGGCAAAACAATCTGTATTTAATATAAGCTTCTGCTGGGCATTGTGGAACATGCCTTTAATCCCAGCACTCAGGAGGCAGAGATAGGCAGATCTCTGTGTGTTTGAGAGCAGCCTGGACTACAGAGCAAGTGCCAGGATAGGCTCCAAAGATACACAGAGAACCCCTGTCTCAAAAAGCAAAACCAAATACAAAACAAAAAAACAGAAACAAAAATAATGTAAGCTTTGGTGTGTTATTTGAGACTAAGGGCAGAGAGACCAGATGGGAAAGCTACACCAACTACAAAATGGCACCCAAGTTGGTGCTGGAAGCCACAACCCTGATATTAAGAGTCTCATGCTCTACCAAGTGAGCTAGATATTCAGCATGGCAAAAATAGCTCTTGCCTGGAGTGTTTCACTGTTTGCTGTATAAACTGGACATAAATGACCCACAGGAAAGTTATTGATAAATTTGCCAAAATAAGATGGGATATTCCTGCAGGGTTTCTGCTTCTTGGAATAATCTCCCTGACATTCTACAACACAGAAAAAAAATGAGTGACAAACCGCCAATGCAGGCAGACAATTTAAAATTTCCTGTTTCACTAAGAAGTCTGTTAGACAGCACTATGTCCTATGGGCTGAAGGTGGATGCTCAATATTACAGAGAAATTTTGGGTGACTGTTCAGGCAGCGAGATGTCTCTGTTAATTCTAGAGTTTATAAGGCCTTTGATGGAGTTAAAGACAGATACCTCTAGTTATGGATTTCCTCAGTTATGATAAAAGATGTTACACATAAAAGTTTAGACTTCCAAAGAAAGGAGTTAGAATATTTTCTTTGAATTTTGTCAACTGTTAATGAACTAAATATTGTAGCTGTAGTATCTTGCTAGATAACTGTTTTGTTATATATAATTTTACTATGTTAAAGTTAAAGCCTTTCTTTTTATTTAGACAGAAGGTGCCATAATGGGGGATGTTCTTGGTATATGTGTTTTTTTTGAT